CCTCACACTTCTCCCGCTCTGGGTGAGCCACAAAAGAGGTTCAGTAGTTTTTTTTCTAAAATTCCATGTCGTTACAACAACAACAGCAGCAGTATTGGTGGAATATACGTTTGCTCACTCAGCTGAGCTCGGGAGTTTCCTCACTTACGAATTCGGGTAGAAGTGTACAGAAATCAATGAGAATTCCCTGAATATCCTCAGAATTTTCCTACTCTCACCAACACATATAGTTGACCATGTGCATATTCCCTCACACTGCCCAGCAAAGTCCCCATCACTCTGAGTACTTCGACTATCAAAACATACTCTATAAAGGCACGAAGTTGATGATCAGGTCATCAATACTACTACCCAGCAGTATATACAGTTCATAAGTAGCTGCAGATTTGCGGTGCTGCAAACTCACCCTCCATGTGCCCATCAGTGAGTATGCAAAACGGCACTCGAAACTATAACTCAAGATAGAACAAGTATCCAACACCTGCGAGAACTCTGTAGTCAAGAAAAACACGATAGCAAAGTCCACTTATTTTCACTCCCTCCCCACTATGTGAGATGCATTCTCAGTTTTACATACTTCCATCCATACCACTGCTAACGCGAGCTTTCCTAATAATCAGTTGGAGACTATGTAAAGTAAACTCGACAGCCTACAAGTTATTCGGCTGATCCGAGTCTTCCGCCTCGCTGTCAAAAACTGCGAGAGCTCCCGTCGTGAGAATTATATTCTCTCTATAGGCGACTTCCGGAGCTACAACGCAGCCCAACAGTTCTCCATACCTTTACCAAAACAACTGAAACACGTTTGCTTCCTTTGAACTCACTCGGACGATTTATGTCCTCTGATTTTCTCCACTTCAAAATCTCGAAGGTTTACCACACCTCGAGCAATTTCCTCACCAGTTTCAGCCTCGACCAGCGACACGCAATCATCACGATGGAAACTGCCTGTGACGCGAGTGATCCCTACAACGTATTCACCAATAATAGCACTCTTGCAGCCTCGCCTTAACTACCCGCTGCGAATAGACTCTTTTTCCTTCTTATCGCATCAGCAGCTCCCCTGTCCAGGCTTATTACACCTCTAGTCTCGAGGCCCAGCATCCAACGTCTCCTCCAGGTCATTTTGGATACAGCGAACTGCATGCCATCAGGAGCAACTTTAAAAACGGTCATGAGGCCCTTGCTAGATCCATCCCGGAGGTATTCCAGTACCTCAGCAACTTATTACCACATAAGGACAGCCCCCTGCTACTACTACTACTACTACTACTACTACTACTACTACTACTACTACTACTACTACTACTACTACCTTATTTGGCTTGGCACCATGCGTGAGGATGCACTCTATACCAGCAGCTACTGCAGTCCTAGCCGCTACGAGTTTGGTCGCCATACCCCCGGTGCCTTAGCAACAAAAAACAGTAGTGAAATATATGCCGGCTTTCCTCAAAGAATAGTTTCCGCACTATGTTGGAGTTTTACGTGAAGTGGCGTAAAACTCGGATATGGAAAACGCGATATTCGCGGTGATATGCAGTAGTCGTAAAATATGTTTTTCACCAGTGTTCTTCATATCACTAGTGTGAAACTCCCTTGTGATGAAGCTTACACACGACTTAGAATACAAATGAGCAAAAAAACCAATAATTTGCCAGATTTTTCTCATTGCCATCAACACACGTAACTGACCATGTCCATTTTTCCATACTGGCAAGCATCATCACTATCCCCCTCGAAATGCCCTAGTATTACCCCACTGACTGTCTCCACCAACTTCCACATCCAGCTTGGCCAGCTCTAAGCTACTGAGCTCTCGTATAGGCTTAGCATCGGCGAATTCGTGCGGGTTCTTGTCATATAGACAGTCGACGTCAGTGAGCAGGAAAAGCCTTTCCGCATTACAGCTGACAGCCACCAAGGCAGATAACGTGTCGTTGTCACCAAAACGTAGCTCGTCAACGCATATACAGTCGTTTTCATTTATAATAGGAATAACCCCCATGTTCAACAATTCGTTCGTAGCGTTCCTGAAGTTCCTAAACCTGTCCTTAGCCGAAAAGTCAAATCTAGATAAGAGAATCTGCGCTACTTTCAAGCCATACGCGTCGAAGAGATCCTCATACAATCTTATAAGAAGGGATTGTCCAGCAGCAGCAACCGCTTGCTTTAATGATAGTTGATCAGATGTAGGACGATTTGCTAAGTTGAGTTTAATGCACCCGAATCCAACAGCAGCTGACGTAACAATAACCACTTGATAACCCGGTACCCTCATAATGCTAGCCACTAGGTCTACTAAGCCTCCCATATTTGCCATATTTACGGTATGACAAGGCTTCATAAGTGTTGAAGTACCGACCTTGAGTACGATCAAATGCCTCTTTTGTATTGCATGCTGTTCATGCTTGTGATTTGACCAATCGTGACGACCACTTCCTGACATGGTTCGGAGTTTGCGGAAAGCAAAGGCACTCCTTAGAACAACTCTCAATAACTTAACCACCTCTCAAAAACACTGTGTTTTCACTCAAATCATCAAGTGTTCCGAAACTTGAAAATACACAGTCGAAGTCAGTGAAAAGGATGATCTCGTTGGCAATATTATCTAAAATGGATGTTCACATACTACTATATGTGATACTCAATACTGAAATTTTCACAGCGATGAAGAACTCATGTGAAACCTTGTGAATCCTCGTCACTGACCCAGTTATCGTACATGTTCTTCTATAGCAGCTATATATAGCTTCTATAGCTGTAACGCGTTCGAAAAGCTCATCATTTTGCACGCAAACGTCGACTATGGATACCGTCACTCTCACAACTACGACGCCGAAAATTGCATTTCCGAAATTCTAATATCGGTCCTCAGCCACGAAATTAGGCATCTGCGCACAGCGAAGATTCCACACCAGAGACGGCAAACCATCACCGCTCCAGTGGCAACATGTTCTCGCGACGCACTTCCAAAACCCATGTTCGAGAATCTTCCAGGAACCTATAATGTTCCCAAGGGGGGAAGCTCATTTTGAATTCTCCACGTATGGAAGACATTCTTCAATCAGTTTCCCATGTAAATGTCATCATCACATTAGGAGCATTTCCCTCATCGTTATCAATCCCTAGAGGGGCGTTATTTCCCAAAGCCAGATGCTTCCCCAGTCCCAGTAGTCACTCAGGCCTCGCATGCCAACCACTCGACAGAGCTTAGAATTCATACATGTACCGAGATCGTACCAATCAATGGAGTTTCACCCTAGTGATATGAAAAACACATTTCACGACTACTGCATAGCGCGAATATCGCGTTTTCCACGGCGTTTTACGCCACTTCACGTAAAACGGTGTCAATAGAAACTATGCAGATGCTCAGTTCATAAAACCCAGCACGAGTCGTTAACGAATGATTCTCTATTTTTCGGTGTGGTACAATATGCACATTAACAACCACATGGAAATGGAGAATCCGAGGAAATTTTGGGAAATACTCAACTACCTTTCTACGTATATGAACTTGTATAATCAACGAGTAAACTTCCAAGCTCTTCCACTTGAGGAAAGCAAACATATATATTCCCACTTCTTAGCTGATGATCAATACAGTAATCCTAGAGCATACGCTCGGCTAGCAAGGAGGACGAGTATCACGTTGACACTAAGAATCAACACCTCTCCCGATCAACTCCACGAATAGTCATTTCAAGGGCATACATTGCCGTTTTAATTTCTGGTGATCTCAATATTTTCCAATTAAACTCTAGGGGGCAAATTGCGGAGCGAACGAAGCGAACGGAGCATATACCGCAACAACAGGCACTTTCGCGTTGTGCGTGCGTGCGTGCAGAATTATTCTGGCTAACTACGAAGCGTGAAAGCTATCAGATAGGTCAAACGACTCCTC